ATAAACACTTGGCATATTCACAAAAATTATATTACAGCAACTCCAAAACAACCTCTAGTCAGCTACTAACATTCTTCAGCACAACCAACCACTTATTAATGGATCCAAAAAACTTATACTTAACTTCAAAATTATACAACTTTTATAGCACTTGGGCATTTTAATTTTAGCAAATTCTAATATCTTGTGGCCTAACACAATTTATGATAGTTATCAACTATTAAAACCAATACTTATTTAGTATTCCAAATACAATACTTTTAGAAAACAACTTCAAAAAATCAACATACTCTACCTAGAACAACTATGTACTGCAGATAACAATATTCTACTTAAATGGCATCATCTTTCATCCAAACTTTATTACTTAACCAAAGGAAGGCAGCCTCTTTGGTTTAACTATCTTGAAGATACAATCTTGTCTAACAGACTATACCACCTAATCCTTCCTTATTTTCAACCATCTGAAGTTAATGCCTTTGTATATAACACTTTACCAATTAAGAAACAACTTAAACCATAGTTACTTACATATAATAACAATAATAAAGAAATCATTATTGGCAAAATCCACAAATATTTCTCAAATACAAATCAGTTCTCTATCTCATACTAGAATGCTAATATTGATTTAAAACAGAATTATTACTATCTTTTTTCAGATTTGAACTGCATACTATGTACTGGGTATTATCTTAACTCAAATAGAATTAATCAGATATGTACAATTAATGTATTAGCAACCATTTGTACCAGGTTTCTAGGAAAAAAAAACTCTAAACTTAAACTTAATGCTAACTACCTGAACCTTATTTACTCAACAGCAATTAAACATCCTTCATAAATTTCATATAACTATTCTACTATCAACATATCAAATTCAACTATTGCTGAAATCTTTAAACCTAATGAATGTTCAAACAAACTTAAAAAAATTTTTCAAAACAATCTGTCATATAAGGAATTTATTTTTTATACAGATGGATTAGTGACTAATATTGAAACTGAACAAAGCTCAATGGGCATTGGATGGGTCCAAGTCAACAGTAACAACTAAATTCTTCACAAATTCTCAGCTAAAATTCACTTTTGGCCATTAGCCTATAAGGCAGAGCTCTTTTTTATTTTATTAGCAATTTTAACTATACCTCATGATGTAACATTTCAAATCTATACTGACTCACAATCTGTAATCTCTAAATTTTACAAACTTCTACTCAACTTAATAATCCTAACAAACTTTTTAAATTCAATGCATGACCCTTATGGCATATACTTCTAAATATTATTAAATTCTTTAATTTAAATATTAACTTCTACAAAGTTCAAGCCCATATAAATAATACCTTTAATAACATGACTGATTCTCTAGCAAAACAACATATCTTTTCTCTATCTTTAAACTTTCAATATACAAATATTTACAATCCTTTTCATATTTTACAATGGAAACAAAATTTTGTCAAACTCCATACTAGACATTTTGTTAAAAATATCTGTAAAGCATACATACTGGCAATGTGGTCTTTACAAAAAAGAAACAATGAATGAGCTTATGTTAACCACTATATAGACTAGAAATTCATATAGCTATATCTTAATCACAATCAAAAACCCACATCTAACTTAAACTTAACTAATCTAAAACCTTCAAAATTAAATTCTTTCTAAACCAACTATTAATATACTTTTCTTATCACAATACTTATCCAATAATCTTTTCAAATGTTAACTACTTTCGATGCAATCTTTCTGACTCTCACTTATACTGTTTAACTTGCTCTAATTCATCTCCTATTATAAATATTATTAACTCATTAATTCAGCACATTTTATCTAAAGTAGATCTCAACTTATCTACTAGCCAACTATATGAACTTATTTGCAAAATCCAAAACCATTTTTCATTTGACTGAATAGTATTTTAAGCAAACTCTTTCTATTTTGATCTTACTTTTAAAAGTCTTGTACTTAAAGCCCTAATTAAAACAATTTATAACTACAACATACCTACCAAAATAGCTTTACAAACTATTATCCAAATACTTTTTGATATCAATAACCAAATTTATAATCAAATATGGAAACCTTATTGCATTGACTTTTCTAACTGAAAAAAAAATAATAACATTACATTTATTCTAAGCTCTAATAATAACTATACTTTTTAACAAATATAGCAAACTAGACATCACAAAAGATCACATATAAACTATATATAATCATGTTTATATAGAATAGCAGATCAATTATATTCACATCCTAATATCTGTCTACTAATTGAACAAGCTATTAGGAAAATTAATATATGATCAACACTTTGAATTAACTATAGCACTTCTTACAACTACATTTTAACATTACAAATCTAGGTAGGTTTGACCACCATAGTCGGTTTAGATCACAGATAAAATTGTTTGAGCTTTAATTCTTACATGTAATTTTTATTTTGTAGTTTACAATCTTAGTATATCTTAGTATATAGTATATTAATATATACAACTAAAATTACTAATAAAGATATAAGCAAGGCCTTACCTTAATACTAAAAAAAAAAAAAAATTTGGCCAATTTTATTTTAACTTGGGTCAAAGTGATCTGTCATGTGTTTTTTGTGTCACCATAGCACAAATCACCTTATTGTCAAATATGTTGCACAAGTTATATGACTGCTATCATTTGTCAGCTAATCAAAATTACTGTGTTTCTAGGTTTATATAGATTCAACTTGGGCTCAATTTAAATTAAATATACTAAATTAGGTTCAAATTTGGTTCAATTTGAACTCAAATAAACTTGAATTTGACTTAATTCAGATTTACACACCTTTAAGATATAAAAAACTTTTTTTTTTATACTGTTTTATAACATCATTGTAAGCTAGAAGTGTGATCTATAAACTAGTAGTTAATATAAATAAACTGTAGTTTATTGTAAACCTGTAGTTTTAAAATAAACTACAAAAGAGTGTGGTGACCTAGTGAAGTGGTTAGGTGGTCAACCCTCCAAGTGGTAGGTTGTAAGTTCAAAACTCATAGACAATAAAATTTAAATAATTAGCTATATAATATTTGTATTATGGCAATTGCATTTTGTCAATCAGTTAGGATAGGATACCTGTAACTATGGTCATACCAGCATGACTGGCAGGTCAGGAGCATTTGTGTAATCTTGGTTACACAGAGGGATGCAAACTGGTACTAGGTGGTGCAAACTCAAGATAAGTTCTTTAACTATATAAATTCATAGAACTGGAGAAACCAGAGCCCACTTAAGAAGATCTAAGTAAAAAGATAATACAGATCTTTGACAGTACTACTGTAAAAGCTAAACCTAGGAAACAGATACCAATGTAAAGAAATTGAGTAGTCAAGAACCTCTAGGTGAGGGGTACCACTAACCAAACTACCAAAAATTGGATCTGAGCAAAAGGATATTAGACCAGACTTGATATACTAGGACAGGTCAAAGTCATACTAGGCTATCTGAATTGAAAGTCTGATGCTCAAAGCAGAGGTATACTATAAGTACTAGAGATATGCTGTAAAGTTAGTACTAGGGTTTGGGTAAACTTTGCAAGAGCATGCCCTATTAATGTTTTATAATTAAAAGTAAATATATTAGTTAACAAGAAGGCACTTTGGGCCTTATAGTTAGATAACATGCTCTAAAATGTGTAACAGCCTAACAGATGTATAACAATAGAGGTCACATATTAAGTTAGATGGCACTTAGATGTACAGGAGCCTTAGAGCTATTCGACTAATAAAAGTATAAAAGATCAGAGTGTTTAAATATGTAATCTTCTAATAGATTATAGAGATGGCAATCAGTATAGAACCTTTAGGCAGACTACTTAAAATAGATAACCAAAAGTTGTACAAGTAGCTAGTTGTATACTCATCTTGTACAAGTTATATAATTAACGTATAATTAAAAATATACAATAAAGGCAATAGCTATTGATAGACATTGGTCTTAGCGAAAGCAAAAAAATAAAAAATAAACTACAGTTTATTTATATATACTATAATTTATAGTTCACATCATTATTGTGAATAAATAAACTTTTTCTAACAGGTCTCATAAATTATAAAGGTCTTTAGCATTATAAGAATAATTAACATTTATCGATATTATTTTTGGCTATGTATAACATTTATATATATCTTTTATTAAACTTTATTTGCTTTTAGAAGTACATACATATATGCAATTTCTAACTAACTAGTGCAGTAAGTTCAAATACATATTATATAAATCGAAAAAAACAGGCTTGAAAAAGTTGATCAATATGAATACATTGGTCTATATAATATAGCAATATTATATATGAATAAGTGAATATGTACTGATCATTATTGTTATTGCTAAATACAAAAATGTTTAAATATGTTAATATTAAAATAATAACTTTACATAATAAAGTGTGATAATATTATTTACCTTTCTTAGGCAACTTCAAGAATTATGTCCCTAGCTTTTGCAAATATCACAGACATATAATTTTTTAGTAACATGTTCAGCACTTATATTTTTATACTTAGTACTACTCAGCCTTTCTTTCATTTTTGCAATATCAGGATCTCTAATGTCTTCTTGTGATAATGAATATTTGATGTTCAACTGTTAAATGAAAAAGGCCAGTGTATTATTAATTTTAATATAATCTACTCTGTTCACAATATTTTCAATATCTTTAAGTAGGCTCAAAGTACTTCTAGTAGACATTCTCTGATTTTGAATTCATTGTTATTAATAATATTGTTAACAATAATACTGTTAGCAATAACATTGTTAGCAGTAATTTTGTTGGCAATAACATTGTCAGTAGTATAAATTTTTTTTTAATTATATTAAGTGCTGCTGAAGGAATAACCCAATGAGCACCTATATAGTCTGCATATAAGACTTTATTATTAGCAATATGAACTGCAAGAACATAACAAAATAGCAAAGAAAATTGCACATTATAATCACAACAATAAGCATAGTTATTATTAATTTGATGTACTATATTTATAGTCTTCATGATGATAAACATGCAGCAAACCAATTTTTTGCCTCTCAACCTCATATGTAACAGCTAAATTGTGCTGATCTAACAATAGAGAATATGCAAAGTCTGACACAATTACTGAAACATCTTTCAATAATTCTGAACATTGTAGGCAAATATTATTATGCAAATAATTTTGTTGGTATTGTGAATGCTGAAGTTGATATTTGGTTAATTTATTTAAAGTACTAATTAATTCAGATAAGAGTTTCATATGACCAAGTAGCTGTTTTAGATAAGAATTAGTAGTCTCTAACCATTGCATTGTTCTTACTCCATAATTGACATACTTGTTAGTATAACTATATGCCCACATACTTTCATATGGCTTCTATTGCTCTGTTATATAAGCATTAGCTTTGGAATATTCAATTAATAAATGGTTCCATTAAATATTAAATTTTTATATATCAGTTTCAAACATTACTTCTTTGAAAATCTTGTTATATGCTATAAATTTATCTTTAAGCTTATTGTTTAAATTTTTAATATTTGCTTAATATTCCAAGCACAAAGTTGATGTTTAATATGTGGCAACTCTGTTTGAACTGCAGATATAAATAGAAGGTCTCTATCAGTTAGAAGAGTCTTTATACATTTAACAGTTATATTATTAGCTATTTTTTTTAATTGACAGAGTGTTCAGCAAAAATTTAGTACAGTTTAATTAGTAAGAAGACAACTTGCAATAAAAAATGTTATGCCTATTACATCAATGCCACTAACAAGTAAAAGTGGCATTCTAACCAATTATTATAACTATTTAGTATGCAAAACAAAAAATTAAAAAATAAAAACTAAAAAAAAAATTAATTAATTACCCAAATCAATTGGTCTTATATATTAAATCTATTAATAAAATTTCTGGATAACAATTAAAGATAGAAAGTGCAACATAGATAGCAAAAAATAAGCATGAAGTTTTTTATTATTAAGTGAATAAATGACCAAATATTTGTTATTATTATTCAGATTATTCAACAATTCTGTGGTTTGAGACAAACTATTTACGTAATTATGAGACTGATGATTTAAGAAATTATATACATCTTTATTATATAAATATTTATTGTATTGTTTAGTCAGCATGTTGACAATTGTTGGCACTAGTATATCACTATTATAGAGCATTTGAATATGCATACTTTTATTACAACTTAGCCTATAATGACTAGGATCAAACATAATTACAGCAGAATTTATGAGATGTTCATGTTAAAGATTAACAAACTGCACAGAATATTAATTTTTTATCCAATAAACTACTACTTTAAATGGGCAGTTAATAGCTATGCTTTTTGTCTTTTACAACCCAGTACTAGCATTACTTGCAGCACCAGCATAGTGACAAATGATATTCATTTTGGTTATAAAGTCTATAACACTTTTTGTATAATAAAGCCATGTTGCAAATTCTTGATTTATTTCATAGGATTAATATGGTCTTGGACATTGTTTAATTATTAAAAACTTGTTTAACCTTTATTGTAAGGGAATTGCTATTCACACCATGGATTTTTGCTATCCTCACCATGGTAACTAATATTATGAAAAACTACTTACCCTAACTCTAACTAATTCTGGTTATGATCTACATACCATGGTGTAAATAGCAAAAATCTATGATGCGAATAGCAGTTCCCTATTGTAATTGTATTATTACTAATGTTTTAGTAAAGTGATACCAGAAAATAGAATTAAAATAAAGCAAAGTTTCACTAATAATTAATTATTTATACATATTAAAATTTTATTTCTGTAGTTGATCATTAATAGTTACTTAACCTTGTAATGTTATATTATCATTATATGACTCATAGCTATTATAATAAACATCAAGTGAATTCTTATCATTACTAATATCAATATCAGAGCCTGTTTTAATATCATTATCAAGGTCAGTATTTTCAAGAGGATGTTTGAAGTTCATATTGTATAAAAAAAGTGTTATAAAGCAAAAAATAAAAAAGTATATCTGATTTTTTCAGGTTATTTTATTTACAAGTATTGCAACACTGACTGGGTTTCTATACTTCTGTGATCACATGTTTATATCAATTGTTCAATTAAAAAGCAGCATTGCATTTAGTAATAATTATATCATAATTACTATATGCAGATTTGCTGCCAAATTTGAAAGTTCTTTAAAGCAATGTAGAATTTGCAATAATTAAACAATAAAATTATAAAATTTAACAAACCCAGATCAACTGATGAAAAAAAACAAGTAAAAAAAAGAAAAAAACACAAAAAATACAAGAAATGACTGTTGAAAATCACTTTGATGCATTAATAAAAAATATTAAGAGTGAAAATTTACTTATATTAATAACTCTAACCTAATGCAAAGGGTCCTAACTCTTAGGTTAATAAAATACTGATTTTTATGTAATCTATCTCACTTTAAGGACCCCTAATTTTGGATCTAAATTGAAATAATTTCACTTAACTTAAATGATATATGATACTTAATTTAAATCAGGTTCAAGTTGAACCAAATTCAGTTAAATCAGGTTCAAGTTGAATCTACTTGAACCTAAAAATATAGTGATTTTAATTAGCTGACAAAAGGTGACAATCACATGACTTGCACAACATATTTGACAATAAGACAATTTGTGCTACAGTAAACAAAAATCATGTAACAGGTTATTTTGACCCAGGTTAAAATAGAATTGGCTTTAAAATTTTATTTAATTTGAATTAGTAAGTTTTAAGAAATTGGTTAAAAACTATAACTAATTTTTAAAATTAAGTTATTTATAGATTTTTTATAATTTCTAAAAAACTAATAATTCAAATTTGTTATATTATAGACTTATATTATAATTAACAATATTTAAAATTTTATTTAATTTGAATAAGTAGTTATTAAGAAAATTATAATTAAAAATTACTATAAATTTAGTAAAAATTTTAATTTAGAGAACTATCACTTATTACATAATTATAGCCCCTCTCTCAGATCTGGTATTTGGAATCTTCTAAAAACCTTCTTACAAATAATGTCATAATGGTTACATGTGGCACAGTAACCTATAGTCAACAGTTTTTTTATTGCAAAATTGTAATATTATAACAGCCCTATATAGTGCAGTAACCTATGGTCAATAGTTTTTTTTCATGCAAGATTATAATATCATAATGGCCAATAATTTACAGTTTTTAATAATTATAAGATATGTTATAATAGTGCAATAATTAACAGTTTTGATAAGTATTTTTTTTACAAGAATATAATAATAGTCTGTCTAAAAATCTGTTATATTTGTTTATTATAAAATCTATCCTAAATTTAACTACTAATTATAACACTTAACCCTAAAAAATGCACTTCAAAAAAATTTATTTTTCACTAACTTCTCTATTTTTTTTTATAATATGCATTCATTCTAATCCATCACAATTAATAGTTAATTTTTTTCTAAGTTTATATTATAGCAGCCCTAGAAATGTGGTAAAAACTAAGCTGTAATTAGCCAAAGACCAGTTATTTGTTACTAATGATTTTAAATTGATTTAAGCCAATCAGAATAGAATTATTTTTGTAATGTAAATTGCAGATCTTGAAGACCAAGATCAAATTGTAGTTATTTGATATCAATTTCTGATCAAAGTCTATTAAGCACTATAAGACTATTTATTATTTGTAGGTTTTGTCTTTTGGTAGAAGCTTAGCAGGTTCTTAGATATATACATGAATTTAATTGGTAGAACAGAAAATTATTATAACATTATTAATCATATTACAAAATTATATTTAATAGTTTCTTAGTCTCCAAATACTGTAGCATTCACCAAAAGGCTTATACTTCTATTAAAACTAAATTCAAAAGTAATGAAATTTCAAATTTATTGATATGGTATACAAACAGTTAATAATAGCCAGCAAATATAAGATTATAAAAATTGTAAGAGGAATGATTTTTGTATATCAGTTTTGTTGTATATAATGTTATATAAAACTGATGTACATATATCATTCCTCTAATTGTAAAACTTTGGCAATTAAAAAAAAATATTGATATTAAAATTTAATAGTTAACTATTTTTAAATTATAATACATATATAGATCTTGAAGTCTTTGGATCATATGCATTTTACTATTAATAATAATAGGAAAATTAACTTATTTTTTATTTTTTATTTATTTATAATATCAAGTAGGAAAAATTGATAATACATGAGCATATCAATCGAACATAATTGTATAACTAAATATTATTCCTAAACTATACTATTGTTGCTATATATATAATGACATCTAGAATGATATTATTCTCTTATTTTCTGTTTTAAGCTAGATCAACTATAGTTAATTACTAACTACAGAGAGAGATAAAAGA